TGTCATGAGAGAATTATTCTAAGCTTTCAAGGACCAGAGGATCTTTCAGAGAATAAAAGAGGCAAGTTCCCTGGCACATTTTGTCAGATAAGTATAACCTGGATGATAAAACTGGACACATATTATAGAATAAAGGAAAATTTCAGGTCAATTTCAATTATGAACACAGGTTCAAAAATCCAAAATAAAACATTAACAAATCCACTCCAACAATGTATAAAATAATTACCAAAACCCCCCAAAAAACAAACAAAAAAAAAACCCTAAGAGGGTCTAAACCAAGATGGTTTAACACCAGAAAAACCTATTAGTACAATTTACCACATTAACAGAGCAGAGATAGGTAAGCAACCACGTGATAATCTCAATAGATAACAAAAAAAAAGCATTTGATTCTTTGGGTTGATAAATTCAACTATAGTTCATGATAAAACTCTTAGCAAACTTGGGCCAAACGGGACTTCCTAAATTAGATAAGGTGGCTCTCCAAAGCCCGCAGCAAACGTCCTGCTTAACGGTGGACGCCAGAGGCTCCTCCTCCGAGTGAGTGATGGACAGGGAGGCCCTGAACAGTGCAGGCAACGCCACGCAGCACACAGAGAACAGAAATACACAAAAGCTGTAAAGATTAGAAAGGAAGAAATGAGACAGCCAGGGACAACATGGCACCCTAGACAGACTACCCAAGACCATCTACAGACGACATTAGAACCTAATATTGTGCAGCTTTGCACAAGATCAATGTCAAGTTCAGTATGCTGACGATCAACAGGGCTTCTAGATATTGGCAATGACCAATTAGAAGAGTAATCTATAAGACAGCATTCTTTTTTTTTTTTCAAAATTTTTTTTATTGGGGGGATGGGAACAGTGCTGGGGAATTGGGGAAGGGGAACAGACAAGTTGCTGTCGTTTTTTGTTGTTGTTGTTCTTCAGTCTAGTTGTGGAGGACGTTGCTTCACTGGCCCAAGCTGGCACCATCATTGTGCTCTTCTCGGGCGAGGCAGATCAGTTGCCGGCTTCTGGATGGCTGCTCACTGCGGCTGCTGGCTACATATGGTAGCCCATGGCAACCCACTGCCACAGGGGCTGCAGCCTACACCGTCGCTGACGACTCACGGCTGCCCAGCTCCAGGTTGAGCTGTTGTTCAGCATTTTAGCTGTGGAGGGCAGTGTCACTGGCCCTCATATGTGGGATCCGAACCGGTGCCTCTGGCATCCCAAGCCAGTTCTTAACCATCGCGCCACTCAGCTGGCCCAAGACAGCATTCTTGATAACAACTGTAAATCACCTAGGAAGGAATCTAACAACACACGTGCAAGATTTTACAGAGGAAATTATCTCCTTGAACTAAAGGACATAAGGTCTAAATAAAAGTGGACAGATGTGTCATGACCATGGATAGGAAGGCCCAGCCTCATAAAGACGTCACGTCTTATAAATTCATAGCCATGCCAATAGAAATACTAATAAGATTTTTTGGGAAACGTGACAAGCAAATTTTTAAGTTTTGATGACAGGTTTGTGGGAGTAAAAAGTTCTCATTAAACTATTTTGCTTTGATGAAAAAGAGAACAAACCATGGGTTCCAAGACACAATCGTATTTGACAAGCAAATCGTATTGAGTGAAATATATTTTGTTGACACAAAAACTTTGAGAATCAAAGTGCTAGACTGGCGCTATTTAGGATCCCACCCCATCACCCTCCCCAGTGTTTTCTGTTTTAACATCTAATTTTAAGATGAATAAGATCAAGTTGCCTTCTGGACAAAAAGTTCTTGGTCATGAGCCAAAAGAACAAAATTCTTTGTAAAGTTTATTAGATGTGTGTGGTTACTTTGTAAAAAAACAAAAAGTCCTTTTAAATGTTAATGAATTAAGAGTAAGGAGCATCTGCAATGAGCACATTCTAACTGAGGCTATAATGTCTAATCTCCAGGTTGTGTGAATCTCATCAAAAAAATTTTCAACCATTCTATTTGCTTCAGTGTTTATTGAAGAAAAATGCTTTTGTTCACTTAAAGTTAGAAACAGTATTTATCATCGGAAATACAATAGATCAACTAACTTACTCAGTGTCCACCAACATTTCACCGAGAAAACTTTCAAAGAGATGGGAAAATCGAAAGTGTACAATGAGTTCTCTGCACCCAACCACCTAGACTCACCAAGTAATATTTTCAAAACATTTAGAAATGAGATAAGAAATTAATAAAATTCACCCTTTGAAAGTGCACAATTCAGTGGGTTTTAGTATGTTCATAAATAAGGTTGTGCAACCATCACTTCTATTTTTATCACCCTCAAAAGATACCCCGTGCCCATGAGCACCCCCCCCCTCCCCACTTTCTCCTCCTTCAGCCCCTGACAACCACGGATCCCCTTTCAGTCTCCATGGATTTTCCTGTTCTGGACATTTCACATAAACAAAACCATACACTATGTGTCCTTCTGTGTCTGGCTTATTTCACTGGACATAATGTTTACAGACGACATTTTACCTTATAAATTTTCTTGCCTAAATCCTTCCATGTCCTGAGCGTCCCGGTTGTTCGGAAGGGCTGTCTTTGGGAACATGCCCCCCTCCACAGGTGTTTACCAGTCCCCCTCCTCCATCTGCTTCTGTCCCACAAAAGTTTCTTAAAACATCTCATTTGCTGACACCTCCCCCCTGCTCTCTCTGCCCTATGCTGCCATATCATAGGGTCCAGGAAAGAGAAGCTCTAAAGGTGCTGGCCACTCCATCACAGGTGCCCAGGGGCACTGCCGGGACTTGGGAGAAGGCACCTGCAGAGAAACACACATTTGTGAGTGTCCACCCCCCAACAAAGATGCTGGGGGTGCCTCAGCTCCCTCTTGCTCTCTGCCGCCCCACCTACCAACTTTCCACTGGAAACTCAGTTTCAGACAGGGAGCTACCTGCTTTGCAACAGTACTTTAAATTCAACAGTGTTACCAGCTCCTTTGTTCCTCCTGCTTCTCCACAGCTGTGTGAGCTCCAGTAACAAAGGACCCCAACCTGGTGGCTCCAATAACAGAGATGGATTCTCACAACCTGGAGGCCAGAAGTCTGAAATCCAGGCATGGGCAGGGTCGGTGTCTTCCAGAGGCTCTGCAGGAGAATCTGTCCCAGGCCTGTCTCCCAGCTTCTGGTGGTTGCTGGAAACCCTTGGTGTTCCTTGGCTTGTGGCCACATTGCTCCTGTCCCTGTCCTTTTCCTTTCTGTGTCCCTGTGCCTCAAATCTCCCTTTCTTTTTCCCTTTAAGGACACCCCATCTTGGATGTAAGGTCCACCCTAAACTTAGGACTATCTTATGTCAAAGTCCTCAGCTTATACCTGTAAAGACCCTATTTTTGCATAAGGCCACCCTCACAGGTACCACAGTTTAAGATGTGGACATCTTTTGGGGGACACCATTCAACCTACCACCTTGCTACTTCTTCTTAGGTTTATTGATCTTTCTCCTTCAGTTGTACGTCCATTGGAGCCCTTCTGGGGAGAACTCACGGCTGGCCAGTGTCCCCAGGCTTCTCCTCATGAAAATGCCCAATTTACCCAGACCTCACATCTGACTCCAAGTTTGCACAGAGTAAAATGTAAAGAAGAATGTAAGCTCTATCCACCCCATGAGAATGAATGTCTCAGCCTCTGAGCAGGACAAGCTCAGGCCGCCCCAAACCTGGACCTCACCTGAGCCCAGAGCTCCCTCCAATCTTCCCACTTTCCAACATCCCTGGCAGCCCCCAGCCCACCCTCTGCAGACATGAAGACTCCCAGGGTGCCCCAGGTTCCACATTATAGCGATGGCACCCTTGATTATTCTGGATGGGCTGTGCTCTCGAGCTGGCATGGATCTTGTCCTAACTGGCCACTGTCCCTGCCTTCCTGGGACACCCCAGCTGCCTGCTCTGCTCTTCAGTCCATCGAGGGCGGAAGATCTGGTCTGGGGTCTCTGGGCGTGTTCTGCACCCGGCCTCTGACATACTGCCCCCTTCACACCACATTCTCCATGTTCCTGCGTGTGTCTCCGGAGGCTCTCTCCTCTCCACACAGGGTGGGTGCAGGGCTGGTGTCACAGCAGGTCCCCCCGGTTTCCACCCTCGAGGAGTCCTGTGTCCTCACATAGAGAAATGTGCTGGCCTCCTCTTTGCAGCCCCCTCCGCCCCCAGATGGGACTGCTGGCTGGAAATAAATGCAGAAGCATATACGTGGTGGATGGGCTGGCAGGAGCCTGGCTCTCCTGAGAGGTGGTTCCCAGATCCCATCAGCCTGTGGACTTTTTCCCTGCAAGCAATCAGAGTTTGGTATATAATTGAAAGGGATTCCTGGAACCAGGGCTGGAGACTCTGCAAGCATGAGTGAACTCACCTCTGTGGGTTCCCCGCGCCCTGGCTCTAAGCTGCCTGTGACGGCCCCACCGAGGAGAACGTGAGTGCCAGCCCTATCCTTTGGGGAGAAGGGGGGTGGCGGCAGGGATCTGTTATGAGACAGTCTGTCTGGATGCTGAGGTCTGCCTGCCTCCTTGGCCTCCTGGGACTGGCCACCAGACTAGTTGGGATGGCAATGTGTTTGTGCCTAAACCGGGTACTTTTCAACCTGGGCACTGTGGATATGTGAGCCAGATGAGCCTGTGCTGTGGGAACTGCCTCGGGCATCACAATAGATTTAGCAGCATCCGTGGCCTCCAGCCGATAGATGCTGGAAGAACCCCAGAGTCTAACACCCCAAAATGTCTCCGGCCCTGGCACAATGGCCCCGGTTGAGAGCCGCTGGTCTGGATGGGAATCCAGCTGGCCTGCTGCGTTTCTCCCAGAAGCTGCTGTGGGTTCAGCAGTGGGGATGGAAGGGCCTAGAGGTGGAGCCAAGGTCCTGACTGCCTCCCTGGCACCATTTCCCCACCCCTGTGGGGGGAGGTGCGGGAGGCAGAGATAGGTCTGACTAGGCCCCTCCCACTTCCTTCTAAAGAAAGATAAAGCGGGTCTGAGGAAGGGCCACGGAGGAGAGCTACGAATCCATCCGCTCCATCCATGGTGAGGAAGCCAACTTACGGTCTGATGCCTAAGCCACGTTTCCTGGGATCCTGGGGTGCTGGCCCGGCCCTCCTCACCCCAACCCTGTGCTCTCCCCTGCAGATGCTGTGGCTGCTATTCCTGACTCTCCCCTGCCTAGGGGCTTCCATGCTCAAAACCCCAGGTGACTTCTAACCCCATGGCAACACCTGCCCTGCCCGGGGACCTTTGTCCCTGCCCGCAGGCCAGCCGACCCTCCAGGACAGGGTGGGGAGGTGACCTGTGAGAATGGCCTGGGAAGCTACCAGGCTCTGCAGGATGGCACAGCCTAGTCTCTGACCCCTCACGTTGCTTCCCCAGCACCCGCCCCTGAGAATGAGCTGGTGGGCATCGTTGGGGGCCACAGTGCCCGCCAGGGGAAGTGGCCGTGGCAGGTCAGCCTGAGGGTCTATGTTTACCATTGGGCCTCCTGGGCACACATCTGTGGGGGCTCCCTCATCCACCCCCAGTGGGTGCTGACTGCCGCCCACTGCATTTCCCGGTGAGTCCCTCACATTGCAGACCCCCGATTGGGTGGAGGTGGGGGCAGGGGCAGAAGCAGAGATGGTGAGGGGGGCAGAGATATGGTGGACTTCAGTTCTAGACTCTTGGGCAGCGGGGCTGTCCAGACCAAGCCCCCTCTGCGGGGCCAAAATCTGCCTCCCCCAGGAAAGACGCCGACCCGTCAGCCTACCGGATCCACGCCGGGAATGTGTATCTCTACGGGGGCCGGGCCCTGCTGAAAGTGAGCAAAGTCGTCGTCCACCCCAAATACGTCGCTGCCTATCTGGGCTATGACCTGGCCCTGCTGAAGCTGGCCACGCCCTTGAGAGCATCCAACAGCATCCGGCAGGTCTCCCTGCCATCTCAGTCGCTGGATTTTAGCCCGGAGGACGAGTGCTGGCTTACCGGCTGGGGCCGGAGGTCATACTTTGGTGAGAATGCCTGGGGTGGGGGGTGGGGGTGGGGCGGTCCTGGAGAGATGCAGGGAAAGTTCCAAATCCGTCTCTTGGAAGAAGCTTATGGGAGATGGTTCAGAAGAGCGGAAATAAACGGGGAAGAAAAGGAGCCTCCTTTATAGGCGTGGGTGGGCACGTGGCCTTGCAGCCTGGCATGGCCCCTCGGACTCTCTGATTTTCGCTTGCATGAGAGAACCTGGCCTTGAGAGGTCAAAGGTATTTGCCAAATCCAATGATCAGCTGTGGCCTGGAGGATCAGCCCAGTGGCCCCGGACCTGAACGCGATGCTCTCTCTCTCTAAATATATTCCCTGATTTTTTTGGGGGGTGGGGTGGGGAGATCTGGTTATGGTTTTCAAATGCGGAAATAATATTTCCTCATATTTTCTTGAGACTTTCAGGCCATAGGCATTAGGGTGCCTGGGGCCACCATGACAGAGGACCTCAAACGGGGGCTTTTAAAACAACAGGAATTTCTCCTCTCAGTTTGGAGGCCAGAGTCCTGAAATCAAGGTGTTGGCAGGGTTGGTTCTCTCTGGAGGCTGTGGGCGTTGGTCCTTCCTGCCTCACTCAGCTTCTGGAGGGTCCTGCTGTCTCTTGGTTTGTGGCCACACCCTTCCTATCTCTGTCTGCTTTTGTCCTCACTTGTCATCTCCTGGCTGTGTCTCTGTGTCTCCTTCTTCTTAAGAGGACAGCAGCCATTGCATTTAGGGCCCATCCTAAGTCCAAGGTGACCTCATCTCAACTTGACTCGACTTCCACATAAGGTCACCTTCTGAAGTTCAGGGTGGGCATGAGTTTTGCGGGGGACACCGGGGGACATTTTCAACCGTGTACACACAGTGTGTCTGTTTTTATGGAATTTGAGCCCATGTATCACAGCAGGAGGGGTCTGTATGGATGGCCTGTGGTCACACACACCCCATCCAGGACAGATGGGGAAACTGAGGCTTAGGCTGGTTCCAGGTCAGAGTGGCAGAGGCCCTTGCGTCCAGGGCTCCTCTTTGTCTGGCCAGTGTGGATGGTGCTGGGTGATCTGTGGCACGGGGGACAGCTGGCCCAGTTTCCTGACCCACTCTGCTTCCACCCCAGAGCCACTGCACCCCCCCTATCGCCTGCAGCAGGTACAAATCCCACTGGAAAATGATGATGACTGTGAGAAGAGCTATGGGAGGTACCTGCATGTCAGAGCCAATAGTAAGATCATCCCAGAGGACATGATGTGCGCTGGCACCCTGGGCCGGGGCCCCTGCATGGTGAGATGCGTAGGCCAGTCCTGCCCCAAGGGTCTCCTCCTGGCCCTGGCCTGCTGAGGTTGGGCACCTTGACCCTTGACATGCCCTGTGATTGTCCTCTCTCCCCACAGGGAGACTCCGGGGGCCCCCTGATGTGCAGGAAGGGAGGCGCCTGGATCCAGGTGGGCGTGGTCAGTTGGGGCATTGGTTGCTCCATGGTAGATCTGCCTGCCGTCTTCACCAACGTCCAGAAACACTCGGACTGGATTCAGCGGCAAATCCAGAGGCGCCAGTGAGCCCCAGGCCGGGGCCGGGGCCAGGCTGCCCGTCAGTGGAGCGTGGGGCGTCTCCAGCCACGTCACATCCCCAGTGTGAAGCTCCTCATCCCATTCTTACTCCCCTTCCTTCCCCAAACTTCAGCCCTCCCCTCTCCTGCTCTTCTAGTGGTTCCATCCTTTCCTGCCGGTGGGGACGGGCAGGAGGGCCCCGATGGGGTTGGGGTGCTATGCGCTGCTTTTGTCTCATTAAACTGTTTGGTAAACAGGTTGGTGGTCAGAGTGATCTTTGCGGTGGGTGTGGCTGCAGAGTCAGGGGACCCAGCTCTCTGGTTTGGGATCTTGGAGTGCTCGGGGGTGGAGGGTGGGGAACTTAGGCTCAGCCATGGGGAGGATAGATGGGTGAGGTGGTCGTAGATTCTTCCCCAACCCTGGGTCACCATGCCCTACCCCATCCCATCTGCAGCACACTCTGTCACCAAGTGAGGGTGTTCGTGGGTTCCGTCATCCTCAGGATCTCATTCACACATGCATTCATTCATTCATTCATTCATTCATTTTTTCCCCACCAATGTCAGTGGTACCACATCCTGGGTTATAGGAGAAAAAACTTGGCCTCCTTTGATCACAGGGTCTGGAGCGGAGGTAGATATACACCAAAGATTTGAAATGCATTGTGGAAGGCCATATCACAGAGAGACATACAAAGTCCACAAAAGAACCTGGTGGGCGGGTGCCAGACAGGAGAGGTGCCTTGAGTGAGATGCTCAAGAAGTCCTTAGCATTTATATATTATTAGACTTTTTATGATAAACTTGCATTGTGCACACAAAATGGACAACAAAGCTATTTTCACTGTAAGGAAAGAACATTAATAATATCAGACCCTTTCTATCAGGAAGGGCTTATCTAAATCTCCTAGGCTGAAGTTTTGTCCTCAGTGCCCCTGAGGGATTCAGGTGGGCTCAAGAGAGGTGTCCCACACCTGGAAACATTCTCCCCTATGGTTGTGACCCACGCCCCTCCCGTCAGCTCCCAGGGGGTGAGGGCTGAATTCTCCTGAAGCAGGAGATGGCATGTGTGGGGGCGGGTACTTCTAACATCCCCTGCTGTCGTGGGGTCAGAGGGACAGGGCTGTGGCTGGTCCAGTCTTACACTGGGAACCGGGGTTCCAGCTTCTCCCATTGTGTAGGCTGTTTGGAGATATTGTCCCCTCTTCTTCAGCCCAAATTTCTTAGCCATCCTCACTTCCCTGCTTTGTGAAAATGTAGACAAGCTCTGACCACATAACACCAACCAACAAGGATAACTTTGGGGACACGATCAGAAAGAACTGGGATGCGCTTCGACAATAGTGTGAGATGGGCTGTCAGGGTGAGGTCCCTGGGAGGCTCAGGAGAAGAGCAGCAAGGATGCTTGCCAAAAATGTAAATGTAACCGGCAAAGGTGCAGAGTTGTCATAACAACTTTCTAAAGCAGGAGACAGGGTTGGGGGTGGAATAGAGAAAACCTCATCAAGGTGGAGGAAGATAGTTGAAAGATAAAAGCGCGGGATTGTTCAATAGCACCCTCTTTTACTTCCACTCGTCAGTGTGGGTCTGGTTTTGTCACTGGGAACCCTGATTGAAACAGAACGTAAGAAGCAGAAGCATCATTATTCATAGACAGTGATTTTCCACATCCAGAGAGCCTACCAACAAGTTATTGGAACTAATCAGAGGGGAAAACTTGCTGGAGGCAAGATGTACAGAAATCGGTCACATTTCTCTCACCAGCCACAAAATGGACAGTGTCATTTTTAAAAGATGACAGTCACGGGCCGGCTGGGTGGTTCAATTGGTTAGAACGCGTGCTCTTAACAACAAGGTTGTTGGTTCGACTCCCACATGGGATGGTGGGCTGCGGCCCCTGCAACTAGATTGAAAGCGGTGACTGGAGTTGGAGCTGAGCTGCGCCCTCCACAGCTAAGATTGAAGGACAGCAACTTGACTTGGAGCTGATGGGTCCTAGAAAAATACACTGTCCCCTTCCCCAATTCCCCCAACACTGTCCCCTTCCCCAATTCCCCAATAAAATATAAAGAAAGATGACAGTCACAACAGCCACAAAGCTATATGGTACGCAGGGATAAAGTTAGTGAGTGTTGAGTAAGATCTCTATGTGAGAAGTATAAAGTGTAACGAAGCTCATACAAGGTAGCCCAAATTAATGGAGAAAATGTACAATGATTATGGGTGAGAAAAATGCAATATTGGATAATTCTCCCTTAATTATTCATCTACAAATCCAATACAGTTTTGATCACTATCTCAAGGTTTTCGCAGAGGTTGAAGAGCTGACACTAAGATCTAGGAAGGCATAAATGGCCGAGTCTAGCCAAGAAATTTTGAAGAGGAAGAATAAGGGGAGATTCCAGGATATGAAGCATCAGTTAAAGAGCTGGAGTAACTGAGACAAGGGCAGACAAGGGAACAGGATGGGTGAGAGGCCTGGAAACAAATGTTGCTGTTCACACATGGAAACCGGGTGTTGTGTCTTGGTAGGAGACACCTTCTATGCCTGGAGGGCTCTGGGGTTTCACTGTGTGACCGTGAATGTGTGTGTTGTGCTGGGGTGCATGGCCCCTCCCTCAGTTCCACACATGAAAGCTTGGAGCCTCTGGGTCCCTAAGTTGGCCACCCCCCCACCCCCACCCAGAGGTCCATGGCCACATTTAGCCACCTCTGGACACCTAGGGGTTTAGCAGAGAAGTTCCACTTCCCACTCAGCCTGTATTCCATCTTACTCAGGTTACTGAACAGGCATATTACACAGACTCACACCAAGTTAGTCGACTGTTATTTTTTGTTGTGTTTTTTTTTTTTTTAGCTGAGCCATCCTGCCACCTGTTGGCAGCTGTTGGCAGCTCAGCCCGGGCTGGGAATCGAACCGGTGACCCTGTTGCTCAGAGCTCACACTCTTGAGCGAGCTCTTAACCAACTGAGTCACTCAACTTTGAATACAAAATTTTAACATAGTAACTTTACCTTCCCCCCCCCCCCTTGTAATTACTAAGCTATAGACTCAGCCATCAGTTGTTGCTTTAAATTCCAGACTCAGTGCTCACTCAAGCCCAGTCAACTGGTTACTCCTCAGTTTCCTTGGCTGGAAAAGCGAGGGTAAGAGCTGTGTCTTTGCTCTATTGAAGTGAATGAATTGATACATGATTGAGTGAACAGGTGGATGAGTGAACATCTGAATATCCAAGGGTACATGGACAAGTCAGATAATAGGTGGCTGACTGGAGGAGGGACAGATAGATGGACAGATAGATGAATGGATAAATGAATAGATAGAGGTATAGATGGATGTAGGAGAGATGGATGGATGGAGAAAGGGAAGGAGTGAGGGAAGAATGGATGGACAGACAGATGGATGGACAGATAGCTGGACATAGAAGAGATGGATGGGTGGGTGGATGAATGGAGGGATGGACAGATCACAGTGGCTCAGTGGTCCCAGCTTGAGTAGCATTTTGGCCTCAGAAACTGACTGAGCATCGTTGATAATTAGGTGGGACAAATATACATGCAAAAATGTTTATCCTGAGATTATTATCATAGCAAATAACTGGAAACCCCCGAATGTCTGTCCCTGGAGCATTGGTTAAATAAGTGACCCGAAATCCATACAAACTGAATACAGTGCACCATTAAAAATGGTGAATTTCTCTGCAGATGGGCAGTGGTGAGGGGAACCGTGTACACAGCCCCCTCCTATGAACATGTGTGTGGGAAGGGGGGAGTCGTGGGTGGCCGCATAGTTACTGCTAGTAGGGAATTATGGAGAATTTCTACTTTTAATTTATTTTTTTTGTATCCCAAATCTTTTACTTTATTTTCATAATAATAATTTAAAAAATTATTTTCACGTTGATAGAAGAGAATGTTTTCTGATTTTTATAGCCACATCAAAGTGGGTTTTAAGCCACTCACCAAAGAGCTATTTATAAGTGGCAGGATCTCATTGGCTCCAAATGGCCTTGGGACTCCGTCTCCTCACCCCAGGTAGTGTGGTGGTGCCAGTCATGAGGGAGGGTCTGCATGAGTGGCAGGGGGGCTCAGTGCATTGGGGGGACTGGCAGCCGGAAGTGGAGCACCAGCAGATGTCCTGTGAGGCTGAGAAGAGGCGATCTCGTGCAAATGTGTGGTTCTCTGTGGGGACTTCTAGAAACATTTGGGGGACACTTGCCATGTCGTGCCAAAGAACTGTGGCAAAGCCAGGAAGTTTGTGTTTACTTCTAATATTGTTCATTTGTTCCCAAAGACTGGGTTATGGTTGGGGCCCTGGAAGAAATGAGGTCGTCAAGGACCTTCCTGCCTCCAGGTCCCACGGCCGCAGACTCTCTGTACCCTGAATTCTGAGACATTGGCACTTGTGCTCGGCCTCTCGGGCGTGTCTTTCGCCCACATCAACTTTTGCTTTTCAACATCAGCCCTGGTAGCCACATCCTTTACCTAACGATGTCCCTTAACCCACATCCTGGCTGCAGGCCTGGACTTGACCTCTCATTGGCCAGTCCCTCTGGTCCAGGTCCTGACAGTTGCATGATTCCCATCATGCAGCCCCCAGCCCTTCCTCTGATCCCATCACTGAGCCTTCATGGTGGTCCAGGCCTGACCCTATCAAGGCCACCAGGTATCCTGTCCCCAGGCCAGGTTGCTTAACAGTCAATGCAGGACCATCACGGAGCAACGGTCTGAGGTTGGTCCCGCCTAGATAAGGGACCCTAGGCCCCATGACGGGCACAGAGAGCAGGACACCAGGTAGTTCTCTTACGTAGGTGGCATTCGTTCATGCCCCTGACATCACTCCTCGTGCTGTGTGTCTCTCTCAGGCGTGGACACCTGGCCAGAGGCAGGAGGGCAACTGCCCATCGGCCTCGACTCTGAGTCTATAGGCGGCTGGGCATCTGCTGTCCCTGTGGGCCTCTCCTGGGCCGTTTCCCCTTGGCGAGCCCATGTTCTCCCTCTTCTCTTCCCAGATGCTGGAAGCAAAGCTCTCTGTGATGGGCTATGGGTCTCTGTTCCTCTGTCCCCACTGGAGGTGACTCTAGGTCAGTCCAAATGTGCTGTCTCCCTTGTCACCTTCCTCAGGTCCTGAGGCACAGAGGACCCAGGCACTCCGGGTCACTGGCACCAACAATTGCAGAGGTGGCTCTGAGCCGGGTGCTCAGGGAACAGGGAGCCTTGAGCAACTTCAGTAATCGCCTTCTTGAGTTGCCGTTGGGGAAACTGAAGCACACGCAGCGTGTTCTTGACAGGAGAGGGGCCCGAGGGCAGGGCTCATGGAGGCCTGAAGAAGGAGGGGGTCTGTGGATTTAGAGTGGGGCACCGGGGTGGGGGCTGGTGGATGGGGAACCTCAGGACCCCTCCCCATGTGGAGAAGGTCCCCCTGGACCCCTTACAGTAAACTGCACCTGCCGGGACTGATTGAGCTGACACTGAGGAGAAACAGGGCCTGTCTACACTGGCCACAAGCAGGAGGAGAAGAGCTGGGCCTGTCATGGGCTCCAGCTCATGTGCTTGGATTTGGGTTAGCCAGGGGTGGGCCTGGGCCCTGAGCGCCCGGCATCATGTCCAGCATGCGGCTCCCAGGCCTCAGTCACCCAGGTGGATGATGGGAAATGTGGCCTCCACTTTGCTGAAGCTCTACTCCTTCCATAAGGAAGTGAGGACCCCTCTCCAGAGACTGCATGAGCTGGAGAAGGGGGGCAGGGGGAGGCCCTGGGAGCTGAGAACCCCTGTGGAGGCTGGAGGCAGAAGCTGTGTCCTCTCCATGATGCCAACAGTGCTGCCATAGGCTCAAGGCCCTGGGGAAGTTGGTGACTTGTGTTCAGAGCTGGGAGGTAAGGCAAGGTTTCCTGGCTTCAAGGTCAAAGTGGGGGTGCAATCCAGCCTGCCTTCCCCAGGGGCAGTTGGGACTTCTGTGAGCTCTGTCCCGTAGCCTTCTCTCTTCCGACTCTGCCCGGGATCCACGTGGCTCAGGGTCTGCCAAGCCTCAGGACCCCGGGAGAAGGGGTGATGGTGGTGAGGGACTCTCTGACACCAAACTGCCTTTCTTTCCCACTCCGCCCCCAGTGGAGGCGGACCAAGCCTCCTGCCCACTTCCTGTGGCCCAGAGATAAAGGGGCTCAGGAGACCCAGGAGCAGAGAGCTTTGGAGTCCAGGCAAGGTAAGGGCGCTGACCCCTCCAAGGCACCCACTTGCAGGTGGCTCCCTGCCTCTCCATCCCTGAGCCCAGGGCCTGAGTCCCAGCTGTCCTCTCTCCTCTCTCTTCTCTCCTCTCTCCTCCTACAGATGCTGTGGCTGCTGTTTCTGACCCTCTTCCTCTTGGGGAGCTCCATCGCTGAGACCCTAGGTGAGTCCTGACCCCAGATGTTCACCTTCATTCTGCAAAGATTCCTGTAATCCTGTCTCTAGGGTCCAGCCTTTGGGTGGGGCGTTGGCTGCCCACCTGGGCACAGCCAGCTCCTTCTGCAGCTCTGGGAAGGCCCGAGGATGGACGGCAGGGCTGAGCACTGGGAGCTGGAGGTGTGGTCCCCCTGACCCCTCACATTGCCTCCCCAGCACCCAACCCCGAGAATGAGCTGGTGGGCATCGTCGGGGGCCACAGTGCCCGCCAGGGGAAATGGCCGTGGCAGGTCAGCCTGAGGGTCTACAGCTATCACTGGGCCTCCTGGGCACACATCTGTGGGGGCTCCCTCATCCACCCCCAGTGGGTGCTGACAGCTGCCCACTGCATTTCCCGGTGAGTCCCTCTGGCTGTTGTCCAGTGTGGGTGGGACGTGAGGGCAAATCTGGAAGTGTGGAGTTTCAAGGTGGGATTCTGCCTGGCTTTGCCGGGCCCCAGCCCAAGCAGGACCCACCTCTATGGCTTCTTTCTGACCCCAGAAAGGACGCCGACCCGTCAGCCTACCGGATCCACGCCGGGAACGTGTATCTCTATGGGGGCCGGGCCCTGCTGAACGTGAGCCGCGTCATCGTCCACCCGGAATTTGTCTATGCTAATCTGGGCGCGGATATTGCCCTGCTGCAGCTGTCCAAGGCTGTGGACAACACTGCTTACCTCAGGCCAGTCCAGCTGCCCTCCACCTCTCTTACGATCACCGCAGAGCACCGGTGCTGGGTGACTGGCTGGGGCGCCATCAGCATGTACCGTATGTATGCGGCGGGGGCCAGATGAGGTTACCAAATCCATTTCCCTGAGGGCTCCCGGTGGGCGGGTGGTCGCAGCTTCCAGAAAGGGAAGAACTGGGGTGCCCAAAATGGTGGCACCCCTGTGTCACCTTCCTACATCCCTGTACACTCCACTTGGGAGATTAGACACTTGAGGCCAGAGATTCCACGACTTGCTGATGGGAAGACTGAGCTCAGAACTCAGTACTGTGATGCAGAAATGCTTATTCTTATTCTTCCTGAAGATATTTTTGGAAAAAAAAAACACCAGAAAAACTCATCTCTCCATTTCCTTTCTGGTCTTTCCAAGTAAAGACAAAAATCTGTTGGTAGGATTCTAGGAATTTAGAGGTAGACAGGGTCCTCCTGCATCCTGGGGTCCCCCGCAGCTGCATCCCAGCAGGGGAACTGAGGCTCCCAGACAGGCCAGGGTAAGAGGCCCAGACGTCTGCTGCACCCAGGACTGCTGGGTGGATGGGCAGGCGGGGTCACGCTGTCAGCCTCTGGCCTCTTCTCTTCCTCAGAGTCACTGCCTCCGCCCTACCGTCTGCAGCAGGTGAAAGTGCAGGTGGTGGAAAACGAGCTCTGTGACCACCACTACCACGAGGCTTCTAGGCACTTCCATGGTGACAGCAAGATTATCCAGGATGACATGCTGTGCGCCGGGAGTGAGGGCCGGGACTCTTGCTACGTGAGTCCCATCCCGTCTCCACCCCCACCCCCACCCGGCCTGGCTGCCCACCAGCCATGCTCAGCACCCCTTTCCTTCCTCAGGGAGACTCCGGAGGCCCTCTGGTCTGCAGGGAGAATGGCTCCTGGAATTTGGTGGGAATAGTCAGCTGGGGCTATGGCTGCGCCCAGCGTGACTTTCCTGGGGTCTACACGCGTGTTCAGAACTACGTGCCCTGGATCACACAACAAATAGGGAGGTGCTCCTGAGCAGTCCCATTGGCCTTCACCTGGGTCAGCCCCAAGGAGCTGGCACCTCCCTCCTGCTGGCGCTGACTGCTTCAGCCTCTGCCCACTCTCCCTGGCTCCAGCCCCACCTTCCCGTCTGGCGTTCTCAGTGTCCAGGACTCCCTGACCGCTGGGGGATGCAGCAGGAAGACGCTGGGAAAGTGATGGGGTGAGAGGCCCCAGAAGTTCGAGAGTGCCACCCTGTGCCGTTTGCATTTGATTAAAGAGCTTGAAGAGTGACCAGAGTGTGAGCAGTCTTTGTGGGATTGGCTGACCATGGGCAATGTGGCTTTCTGGAGGAAAGGGGGTCCCCAAGCCTGATGTGCAGAGGGCTGAGCTGGGGCCAGTGGCCTCCCAGGCGTGGAAGGGAAGAGCAAGGACTCAGTATCAGCTCCACTCTGGGGCCACAGCCCCTTGCTCTGTCCTCTTGTGCTGGAGTTCACCACACCATACTGTGGGTCGTTCCAAAGGGAATTTATCTAAATCCCAGGATGAAACCAACCCATCCATCCTGCCATCCAACTTCTCCGTGAGGCAGGGCCTATTCGCTAAGTTAACCAGTTGCCATGTGAAAGTGACCTGGTTAGGATGCAAATATCTCTTCTCTAGGGAGATGTTGGCTCACCTGGGTACCATTCAGGTGACAGCCTTCCCTGAGCCTCCCAGGGTGCCTTCCCTTACCTTCCCTGGTTGGGCAGGAGTTCCAGGTGTCTGGGGAGCATCTGGGAAGAAGCCCCCCTGAGGCAGCTGCTTGTGGGGCTGAAGGCTGAGAAAGGAATCAAGGAGTTGTCTTAATAGAGGTGATGCTTGGACCTCGGGGAGCAGAGAGTGAGGATGGAGTGGGATTCAAGAAGACGCAAGAGGAGGCCAGAACGTGGGCGTGCCATGTCTGCCCCAGAGGAGCCTCCCGGGCATGGGCACATGTGTTCCTTGCTCTTGAGGGGCACAGCCCACATCTCTTTCACCCCCTTCACAGGGATGTGACGGAGCTGGCTCCAGGAACAGGTCACACCCTTCCCAGCCTTACCAATGGTGCAGAGGAACTATTGGCCTGGGAGGGCTCTGTTTTTGTCCTATGTGTCTGTAATTTCCACGGGTCTGGGCATCCAACAAAGCTAGAATGATTCTTTACATAAATGCACCAATGAATGAATGAATGAATGAATGAATGAATGACTGCCTAGGTAGAAATGGGAATGGCTGGATTTCTCTCTCAGTGGGTGAATCCTGTCTGCGATGAAGCTGGGGCTGGTGAATGGGGTTGGGGGTGGCCTGGACTCTCGCACAGGTCTGCCTGGAGCCGGCTGCCTCTCAACTCTGTGCAGCAGATGAGAAGAGGTGCAGGTTGTGTGCCCCAAGAGGACAACATTTATTAGGGCCTCAAAAAGCTCCTGGGTGGGAACTTCCTGGATTTGGGCCTTGTCAATGCTCCAGTTTGGTGAAAAACATGCAAAAATGAAGATTCAGGATTTCATCATAATATTCTTTTTTTTATTTATTTTTTTATTGTTAGTTTCAGGTGTACAGAACAATGCAATAGTTACCCTCTTCACCCTCACAAAGTAACAACCCCCCTCCCCCCATCTACTGCCCTCCCACCCCCGATATCATGCCCATCTATCACCATTCCATTGAATCCGCTCCCGCACTCCACTCCACGCCCCGAGGTTATATGTATATATAATTATAGTTGACATACAGCACCACCCAACACCAGTCTCAGAAACACAATGCGGTGGTCAGGCCTCTACATCAACCATGAAGTGAACTCATCATAATATTCTTAATTATAGCAGAGAATCGGGACCAGGGGTGGGCAGCACTAGGCGGTAGGATTTGGGGCTGTTTTACAATAGTTTCTTAGCATCTCCTGTTTTGAAATGTATAATGTTTGTAATCAGAAAAAAGTAATTCTTTTTACCATGAAGACAAGAAATTTTCTGATTAGCTTTTCAGAACATGATAAAATGTGCTTATGACACGTCATTAAAATACTCATGTCCTAATGCCTCCATGGCTGGGGGAGAGTGAGGGGGCGACAGCTAATATGGACAGGGACCCCCCTGTTTTGGGGAATAGAAAAACCCCAGAGCTAGATGGCCATGATGGTTGCACATGACTGTGACTGTGTTAAATGATACTGAATTGTACACTTATAATGATTACAATGGCAAATTGTCTGTTATGGGCAGGCACAGCGCTTCTTGGCTGTGGCATGGCTGTGTGGAAAGGCTTAGAAGGGCTATTCCTGCTTCCCTGGATGCTGGGGCTTCAATCCCCTCTGCCCTTCTCTACTGGCAGATGTGGCTCCTTCTGGAGCTCCTTGTCCTTTTCCTCCTGGGAGAAATGAAAAGTCCCAAGGCCAAGATGTCTGGCTGACCTAGAACCCAGGCCCCCACCCACTGGGCACAGTCCACGGCCCCTCTGAGGTGGGGGTGTTCACCAGCAGGGATGCAGGGGTCTGGCCACACCCCTACCCCACTCAAAGATCTGTCCTGGGCCCTCACTTCATTCTAGCTCCTTTCTGCCCAGCTCTGTCCCCCGAGGGGACAGGTCTGCAATGATCACATTTAATCCAATCTGCTCTTGGAGCTTTGTAATGTCACACTCGTGTGCCCTTTCCTAACTTTCAAAGTCCTTCCCCCTGTGCCAAGACCCAGAGCAGTAAACGGAGGCAGCCTAACACCCCGCTACAGGCCAGAAACCACACTCAAGGCTTTCCCATGTCTCGCTCCTGTAAACTCTCTCATGAGAGGGAAATCACACCTGCTAGTGAAAGTTGGCCTCATTCTGCAGCCCGAGAGCCACCGGCCACACACGGGGCCACCTACATCTAAATTCATTAACATTAAATAAGATTAAAAATTTAGCTAGCTCCTCAGTTGCACAAGCACATTTCAAGTCCTCAATGGCCACATGAGGCCAGTGGCTACTGCGATGGACGCCAGGTACAGAGGACACCCATCATCAGAGAAAATCTGTGATAGGCTTTAGAGGTGGAGGTGGGAGGACAGCCTCCCTTTCCAGGCCCCAGCCCTGGCCTGTTTTCACAGAGTGGGGCCTTGCTGGGCTGGCCAGGTGGCCCTCTCTCTGGCCGTCCCCACTGGTCTCTCTACCCGTGAGTGGCTTCAATCAGAGGCCCACACTGTTGGGGGCATGGTGACGTTCCCCCCATCCCCCAGCAGTGGCCCTGGCAGGTCAACCTCAGAGAGTGGGGCCAGCATAACTACGGAAGCAGCATTATCAGCCGTCAGTGGGTGCAGAGCGCCACCCACTGCATCTCCAGGTGAGCTCTGCTTTCTACACTCGGGGAGGCTCTGAGCTGTAAAATTCCCAGGGCACCTAGATGGGGAAGAGAGTGGGTGCCCTTGGAAAAGCCCCAAGCCCCAGAGGACTCACTGGCCTTTATAACCCCAGCAGGTGGCTCAAGTTTCCGAGGGCTTGGGTCACTCTAGCACCTAGCTCTCTCCTCAGGAATGTGCCTCAGACACTGGCCATTGTCTTCAAATCAGGAAAGAAAATAAATTTTAATTATTTGACAATACTTAGAAGTAGGAACTTCTTTCCAAAATTTTTTTATTGTGGTTAAACATGCAAAACAAAATTTACCATCTCAACCATTTTTAAGCGTATAGTTCAGTGGTATTAAATATAATATATTCACACTGCTATGCAACCATCATCCATCCCCATAACTCTTTTCATTTTGTAAAACTGAAACTCTATACCCATTAAACACTACCTTCCCATTCTTCCCTCCCCCAGGCACCATTCGACTTCCTGTCTCTGTGAATCTGATCACTCTGGGGACCTCATATAAGTGGAATCATACGGTATTTGTCTTTTTGTGTCTGCCTTACTTCACCGAGCATAACGTCCTCAAGGTTGATCCATGCTGGAGCAGGTGTCAGAATTTCCTTCCTTTTTATGGCTGAATTATATTCCGTTATATGGAGGGACCATATTTTGCCCTATTTATCTGTCAGTGGATACTTAGGTTGTGTCCACCTTTTGACTATTAGGGACAATGTTGCCATAAACTTGTGTACACAAAAGTAGAAAAATTTTAAAGAGCAAAATACTCTTTGAGAGAACAATCCAAGATGACAGAGTAGATACACTTGCGCTTGCCTCATCCAGTGGACATACTAGCATTACAACTAAATTATAGAACAATCAACCTGGAGAGCCATCTGAAGTCTAGCTGAACAGAAGTTTTATAACTAAGAATATAAAGAGGAAGGCCATGTTGAGACTGGTAGGAGCAGGGGGAGATGCAAAACGGGTTCACCCCAAACATCCGTGTGGCGGATGAAAATTGGGAAGGATATCTCAGCCATGGAGGTTCCCCATGGAGGAGCAAGGGAACCCCACCTCACACCAGGCTCCCCATATAGGAGTACTGGCGCCGGGAAAGGAGCCCCCATAATATCAGACTGTGAAAAACAGTAGAGAGTCTGACCATCCAGGTGGGACAGAAGGCAGCAGGAAACCCAAACATCTTTTTAAAGGGCCCACACAGGTACTCACCCTGGGCTCCGGTGAAGGGACGGAGGGCATCAGAGGCATACGGGGTCAGACTGAGGTGTGTGGCCTCGGGGAGATGGCCTGGAAGACAGTTGCAATATCTCTGTATGAGATCCTTCACTCAGAGCAGCTGGCAGGCAGATGCTATCTTTCCTGTGTTGAGCCCGCCCCCTACGTGTATGGCCAAACCTGAATCTGATTGGCCTGATGAGCTCTGCAGCTTTATCGGAGGCTGAACCTTACTGGGGCTGGTAACTCACAGCAGGAGGCAGCAGTCCTCGGCTATTTGTAGAGCTACCCCAGGCCTGGTACTGGTGGCAGCCATCTTCAGTTTGCAGCGTGGACTCTCCCACACGCCTCCAGGTCCAGCACAGGCAATGACCAACTGTGGATCACTTTGTAGCTCCTACCAGGTAGTCCCCTACAATCCACAGGCAGTGGTTGACCTGGGCATGCACTGGATCCCCTCCCAGCAGGCCCCAGAACCAACATACTTGGAGGTTGGTTTCAGACCACAGCAGAGCACTACCCAATTAGCCCCACAAGTGGTACACCCAATGGCCATCTCAACAGGTACCAGAGCCGGCTGGGACAAATCCTATTCTGTGTGGTAAGCCCCATAGCACAGCAGCCTGTGAGCTGTGGGTGTGGCCAAATCCCACAGCCAATAAGCCTGAGGGTCATTCTCACCCACTGATGTGCCAATAGCAATC